GGGGGGTGTATTTTCGAAGCCTCAGAAGAGCGTTTTCCAGGTGTTTTGAGAGGAACTTTGTTCATAGTTGTGAAGCTTTAATACACCTTATACCTTTTTACAACCTCATAATCTGGTTTTCAAACAACGATCACTCTGTATGCAATTACAGGCTATACCATTATAGACCAATTTTAAAACTAGGCAGGAGATGCAAATTAATCACCACGCAATACAAAAGTATACAAAATTTGCGAAATTTGCAAGGCTTAACCAAACTTTGCAATTTTGCTCATTTTAGTATGCTCTTTCTGGGAATATACTTTTTTTGCCAAGATAAAAAAATTAGTCTATAATGGGAATTGTTTATTGGTTTTGTTCCTATTGTCTATTGATCATCACAATGTCAAGGTAGCGATAAATTAAAGAAAGTCATGCAGTATTCCAAGTTTGCAATGAAGTACAATCCCGGATGAGGAAATTATTTATAAGGTTGATGAGGCCAACAGACTCGCAACAAGTTGTTCTAACAAGTCTGATATCGTCAAGTTGATGATAACAAGCTCGTAACAACTTCTTAGACTTGTTATGAACAGCCTGTATCTGTCTGTATTAATCAGTATTAGTCTTGTTGGAACAACAGCAGGCAGGTCTGTCACCGTCATCAACTTTGTAACATGGTGATAAGAACTTGTTTTATAAAATAACATGTATATAACGCGTGCTCTGATTGGTCGAAACCCGTGTTAGTCAGTTAGTGGATCAGGCCATCCAAACACGGAAGTTTAAAGTGAAAGTTTTGTAAAGTGAAATTTTAACACGGAAAGTTGTTTTTTTATAAAACAACTACTTTATGGTTTCCGTGTTTGGATGGCCTGATCCAAACACAACAAAACAACAAACAACAAAACAAATTTATTTATGGTCGTAATATAGTAAATACAAATTATCATTGCCTGCAAATAGCAAAGGCTAATCGAGGCAGGCAATGAATCGATAATTAATTGAAATAATATTGAAATTATAATGAATTATAAAAAAGTTGATGATCTCTCCCCCTTGATGATCTCTCCCCCAAAACACTTGGGAATGTTGCTCGAGTTAAGGAAAGCGCCGCGCAAAATCACTTGCCTTCGGCTCGTGTTTCGCGCGCTTTTCTTAACTCTCGCAACATTCCCGCGTGTTTGGATCAGGCCATCCAAACACGGAAACCATAAAGTAATTGTTAATGCGAAAAACATCCTGATATCGGCGCAACAACTTGTTTGCCTGCAACAACTTGGATGTGTGTAGTCTTTAGTATAGCACACATGTGAGTCTTCAAGGGTAATAATATCCATCTAAAATTAATCGCATCTAAAATATTTTTTGTTTACTAGGTCTATTATAAAGAGGCTGTTGCCGCATTCGTCGTGTTTGACGTCACTCGCGCTACAACATACGAAGCTGTCGAGAAATGGAAAAATGACTTAGACAGCAAAGTCTTTCTACCAAATGGCTCGCCAATTCCTGCTGTACTTCTAGCAAACAAAGTAAGTTGAGCATTCGGCGCAAAGTATGAGTTTATCAGTCATATAATAAAAACAAGTTTAATCTTGAGGAAATACATCACATTAAATATTGTGTTTTGACAGTGTGATCTGGTGAGTGAAGGCTTACACAGTAACACGACACAAATGAATGAATTCTGTGCCGAGAAAGGTTTCGCCGGCTGGTTCGAAACCTCGGCCAAGGAGAATATTGGACTTGACGAAGCTGCTACATTCTTAGTTCATAAGGTAAGTTTTTGTTACAGAGCTGCCAAGTTCTACGCACGCAAAAATCTCACATCTAGTAGCAAGTCTGCCAACAAGCCGTTAACAAGTTGTGTTCGCACTGCTTGTCCCAAGTTGTCAACAAGTTTGGAACAAGCTGTTAATAACTTGTAACAACCTTGTTAATATTATCAGACTTGTTGCAAGGTTGTTCCGACAAGTCCAATACAGTCATGATATAACAATATTGTTACAACCTTGTATGGTCAACCTTGTAACATTCCTGTTATATCATGACTGTATCAGACTTGTTAAAACAACCTTGTAACAAGTCTGATCATGCCATCAAGCTTGTTACAAGTTGTTAACAGCTTGTTCCAAACTTGTTACAACAACTGGGAACAAGCAGTGCGAACACAACTTGTCGACAGCTTGTGAACAGATTTGTATTTGTAACAACTTGTTTGCAAACTTGTGCGTTTTTACGTACAAAACTTTGTTGACAACTTGGGACAAGCAGTGCGAACACAACTTGTTGACGGCTTGTGGGCAGACTTGCTGCAAGATGTGAGATTTTTACGTCGGGCTCTTTCCACTACGCGAGGCGCATAGTGGAGACAGCCTGGGTACGAGGTTCAATCGCATCCACGATCTCAGAGGTAAGGATTGCGCCAGTAAATATATTTTCCTTCCGTTATAGATCTTAGACAACGAGTCGACGACCCCAATCGAGCTAAGTGGCTCTCATCCGCCAAATAATGGCGTCATTCGACCGGTGCAAGAACAACATAGTGAACATACTACGGAACAACGGAAATCAAGGCGCTGTTGTTCATAAATACACACATTCATAAACACACAGATAAAATTTCTACGTATTAGCATGTTTTAGATTACATTTTCATGCGGGGGGGGGGGGCACACGCTTTGCCTTTCAATTGCACATTGGGCGTAGGGACCGGTCATTAGTTATGGCGGGTAGTGGAACCGAAGAGAAAAGGGTTGGGTAAACAAAATTTTGAGTGAGTACAAGGTTGGGTGAATGAAAAACAAAACAACTCAAAGGTTGGGTAATAAAAAATGTATTGTCATAATTTCCAAAGCATGACTCACTCAAATATTGAGGACTAAGGAGGACTGTTTATATGATCCCGCCTAGACGGGACGGGACGTTTTCATCCCGCCTAGACGGGAAACTCGCCTAGTGTTTATATGGACAAAATACATTGCCGGGATGAAGCCATTTAAGTGCTTGACGTCATATTTTTATTGCAGTAAAGGCATTTACGCATGCCCAAAAGGGAAAAATTCATCCCGCCTAGCCGGGATGAAGTGTTTATATGGGAATTTTTCGTCCCGGCTAGGCGGGATGAAGTGTTTATATGGGAATTTTTCATCTCGCTTAGGCGGGATCCCGGCATCTGTTGCCGAGATCCCGTCTAGGCGGGATAAGTGGCGGGATCATATAAACACTCTTTAGAATTTGTATTACGAGCGGGATCTCGGTAAGCATCCCGTCCCGGCTGGCCGGGATCATATAAACAGGCCCTAAAAAGCGATGTCAACAGTCATATGTCAATACAATATGTAAATCAATCAGAGTCACTATCTTGATCATTTTCCGATTTGTCAGGAGGCAAATGATGTCTCCAAAGAAAGTACATGTGCAGACAACATGAAAGTTTAGAAACTTTAGCTATGCCTATGGCTGCCATAAAGCAGTATTTCCTAAGGTTTATGTGGTTTTTGACGAGTGGGTAAACCGCGACCGCAAATCGTCCGCAGTAACACAATTCGCCCGCAGTAACGCAATTCGCTCGCGCACCCAATCTCGTTCCCCGAGCCTGCGATCCTCGGGAAGGAATCGAAGGCTCTGGGATAATCCGTTACCGGAAGCCAAGAATCCTGGCTAAGATTGAACTACGCATTCCATTTCAATGGCCAATCAGATTCCTCCCTGAAACGGATTATCCCAGAGCCTCGCGTTCCTTCCCGAGGATCGCAGGCTCGGGGAACGAGATTGTCGCGCACCAATCCGCAACCCGCAACCGCTATCTTACATTTCCGATCACGTTCTAATCACATGAATGTTTACGGAATGTTTACAAAGACACGAGACGTGCAATACCTATCGATCAAAAACATGAAATATTGACTGTAAACAGATCTTTTATACTGATCTGCTTGTAAATAATGTGGGATGGAAATGACGAAGAAATCAGAAATATGTAGCATGGTAAAAACCGTCTTACAGCAAGTACATTTTTAATAAGAATCATATTTTTATTTATTTTGTCGAACACAATTCACAAATCGTTTAAAAGTATACAACCAATATACAACCAATATACAACGAATCTCCTGTCTTTGGACTTTAAACTTGTCAAGTTTTGACATTTTACATGCAGTTTATTTTAAAGATTTTATATATAAATATGGTAAGTGAATTATGCTTTTTTTGTAATTATTATAGTGTAGAATCATCCGTGTTTACATGCATTGAATGTTAATAATTTCTAATTTAGCATTCTAATTGGTCAATAAAGACAATTGCTTGCTCATTTTATACTGTAATAGGACACAAATTAAATTCATTGTTTGTAAATCGTTAGACGTTAGCACAATATAAAGCCCCAATAGAATTATTTATTTGGAAAAAGTCATTTTTATAATGAAAAATTGATGTAATTCCCATTTACAAATTAATCCATTTATTCTTTTCAAAAGGTATTCATTAAAACCATTCAAATTATTGAAAACCATTGATGTGAAAATAATACATAATTTCCATCAATGTTTATTCTACAAACTGTCAGAATTAATGAATACCATTTCCATATGGTCGTAATTAACAGTGACGTCATAAACAGCCAGTTTATAATAGTTTATACCTGTAAACCACATAAGTATTCTCTAGTTATAATCTCTCCGCATATTTTCAGTTCTAAAATGTTGTATTTTGGCTGATGAGAAAGATTGTGGTTCAATTTTTACGACTGTTACGACCATATGGAAACCAGGTTTAATGGGTTCATTTATTTACCAAATATACATATTGCTGGCAATATTCACGTCAATATTCACAGTAATATAATGTAAAACTCAGTAATAATTAATGAGGAAATATATTATATATGTGATAAAAATCATGTTAGTTTACATAAACTTTAGCTTGGATTTTCTCGTCTTAGACAATGTTTATTTTTTAAATTACTTCGCCAATGAACTCATAAGATATATGGGTCGTTTTTAATTTAAGCCATTTATAATACTCGCAGTTTGTGCTCTATCAGATATAAAATACTCCTAGTACTTGTGTTTTAAATAGTACATAACACCCATTCTTATTTTTACCAGAATACAGCAAATTACAAGAATAAAGAAAAGACGTTCAAGGTTCTAGTCCTTGGTGATGTTGGCACAGGAAAAACAAGTTTCATACGAAGATATGTCAGCCAAAAATTCTTTATCAACTACAAGGCAACAGTATCCTTGTAATATTTGACCTGTTGAGCACTAGACTAAGTGCTTTCCCCTTGACAAGTAAAATCGTCTGGTGTTAGACAGAAGTAAAATCATCTGGCATTAGACAGAGTAAAATCATTTGTTGTTAGACAGAGTAAAATTCTCTGATGTTAGACAGACTGAGAGTAAAATCATATGGTGTTAGACAGAGTAAAATTGTCTGGCATTAGACAGAGTAAAATCCTCTGATGTTAGACAGAATAAAATCGTCTGGCATTAGACACAGTAAAATTGTCTGGTGTTAAACAGAGGAAAATTGTCTGGTGTTAAACAGAGGAAAATTGTCTGGTGTTAGACAGAGTCAAATTGTCTGGTGTTAAACAGAGGAAAATTGTCTGGTGTTAAACAGAGTAAAATTGTCTGGTGTTAAACAGAGTAAAATTGTCTGGTGTTAAACAGAGGAAAATTGTCTGATGTTAGACAGAGTAAAATTATCTGGTGTTAGACAGAGTAAAATCGTCTGGCGTTAGACAGAGTAAAATCCTCTGATGTTAGACAGAATAAAATCGTCTGGCATTAGACACAGTAAAATTGTCTGGTGCTAGACAGAGTAAAATTGTCTGGTGTTAGACAGAGTAAAATTGTCTGGTGTTAGACAGAGTAAAATTGTCTGGTGTTAGACAGAGTAAAATTGTCTGGTGTTAGACAGAGTAAAATTGTCTGGTGTTAGACAGAGTAAAATTGTCTGGTGTTAGACAGAGTAAAATTGTCTGGTCAGTGGCGTAACATTTTATCAGGGGGCCCCCGGTTCAAAATTTTCGAAGGCCCCCTAGTATAGAAGTTCCAAAGGCACGAGTTGAGCATCGTATATGCACGACTTTGGGGTGAGGTTTTACAGAATTCTGATGGTCAGAAAACGACATTGTGACATATCAGAGGCCCTGGCCAATGTTTTTGGTCTACATCCTGAGCCTGGGGGCCCCCATTTGGCCCATTGGGGTTGGGGGCCCCCGGGTTTGCCCGGTCCGAGCCCATAGTAGTTACGCCACTGTGTCTGGTGTTAGACAGAGTAAAATCGTTAGATAGAGTAAAATAATGAAGTAAGTTGCATTAACATGAAATATGTTGTAAATTAAATTGTTTTTGTTAACATGCTACAAATAAGATTGGAAGTGACTTTGCATTGAAGGTGATAGATTGGGATGAAAATTGCCAGATCAAGCTACAACTATGGGATATCGCAGGTATACCGTATATAATCATACCACTAAGCATCCTCAGGTAAATGTTTAAATCATACCCCACTCAGACCATTTTAACATTGTTTTTTCTCAAACTGCATATAGGTCAAGAAAGATTCTCCTCAATGACCAGGGTAAGACTGTACGAAAGAAGGGGAAAGGGGGGATGGGGCTCAACCGAGGGGATCTGGGGATGTGCTCCCCTAGAAAAATTTTGCGTTTTCAAAGGCTCAGAAGAGTGTTTACTGTGTTTCTTGAGAGGAAATTTGATCAAATAATGTGAAGCTTTTGCATTTACAAATTCAAGATATTTGTAAATGCACTTTGCATCTTCTTACAACCTCTTACCCCAGTTTTGAAACATCGAGTAGTCAAGTTTTCAATGAAACCAGGAATTGGTTACAGATTCATGTCTTGCTGTTCATGAGTTAGGGTCAGCGGTTAGGGTCAGGAATCAGGATAGGGCTCAGTATTCATAAACAGCGAGACATCAATATGTAACCCAGGCTAATAGTATAGCAGTCGCTGTACACATGTGACATACTATTGTTCAGGTATATTATCGCGATGCAGTTGGAGCATTTGTGGCATTTGATGTGACCCGAGCAGCGACGTTTGATGCTGTTGCGAAATGGAAACAGGACGTAGATACTAAATTAATTCTCCCAACTGGACTTCCAATTCCAGCGGTCTTACTGGCTAATAAGGTAAGACCCGTTCACACGCATAGCATAACCTGTTCCCAGGGGTGGAAAAAATAGGCGAGCACTGCTCGCAGGAAATTTTAAACAGCTGCAAGAAATTCGTTTGAATGAAGATTTGTTATTGAAAATTTGGAGGAAACATCCACCCATGTCCCACAAGCACCCACCCATGTCCCACTATGTCTATGCCTATGGGCACTGAACAACATATGGTTGACAGACATTATTCCTCAAATTTAAAACATGGTCAGCTAGAACACTATATGTTTATGCACATGCAGATTTAGCACAAAAATACTCCGTTGGTCTGCAGGAAATTTTTTCTCCAGGTTCTGCTCCCAGGAAGAAAATTCTTTTTTCCTGCCTTGTATGGCTAGCTTCGCCACTGCTTCATTATCTTACTTTGAACTGGGAAAAACTTAGATGGTGCATTAATTCTCCCCGCTGTACAATATGTGCAATATTATCAGGGTTGCCTAAATTACTTTGAATTTGTACTTGAGTAAAAGTAATTAACAATAAAACGACTTGAGTAAGAGTAAAAAGTACTGGAGGCAAAACATACTTAAGTAAAAAGTACGAAGTATCCTTAAAAAATAGTTGAAGTAAAAGTACTATTGTCGATCTGTAGCGTGTAGGGGACTTCTCCAATGGATTGACATATAAAAGACACAAAACAACACACGCATTATATGCATGCACCTAATATACAATATTTCACGGCATGGTCTACTTTGCAGACCCCGTTGAAGATATAAGAAATCCATTAAATAAGTAATGCTTATAAGCAAGCCACAAACCAGAGTTCCCAGACGCATGTAGAGATCCTATTACCTATCCCAAAATTAAAATAAATCCGGAATAAATGACGTAAAATAAAATGAAAGTTAGAAAGTAACTAAATACTTCGCCACAAATTGAAAATAACGAAGTAAACCGTTACTTCTTTAATAAAACGACTTCGTTCCAAGTAAAAGTACTCCAGAAAAAGTTTACTTTGTTACATGCTGACTTCTCAAAAATAGTACTCAAGTACAGTAACGAAGTACATTTACTACTTGACACCACTGAATTATATTATTCTAATTCCTTTAGTGTGATCAAGAGAGCATAGTAAGAAAAGACAAAGTTAATAAATTATGTGAGGATCTTGGCTTCTTGTGTTCTTTTGAAACGTCAGCAAAGGAAAACATTGGCATAGACGAATCGATTAAATTTTTATTAACTAAGGTTGGTAGAGTTTTTCCAAAAGCGTTTTACGTTCTCGGAAATGTACATGCATGTGCAAAAAGTTTTATATTTGACTTAGACAGGAAATTTTCAGTATTTTTCGATTTTGCTGCCAGCAAGAGAAATATGTTTACTAGGGTTGATATGGTATAACTAGGCATGCAAGTTATTAAAGTGCCCATATGACACGAAATTCCACCCCAAAGGTTTGTGGTTGCATTGTAAAGTCACTTAAAATGACTTAATAATAATCTTTTATAGAATTTTGGTAACTTGCTCCCTTTTCAAGATATTCAACTTTGTTTCATATGCAAATATCACTGGTGTGACATCACCTCACATAATGAGTTTTCAGAAAAGTATAGTTTTCTTGACGAATACGTACCTAAAAAACATTAAAATTGCCCTTGTATATGTATTAATTTCATAACTGGTAATTTGTTTGTAAAAGTATTTTATCAAGGTAAAATATTGCGTTTTCAAAATGTCATTATGCGATGTGATGTCACACCGGTGATATTTGCATAGTTGAATATCTTGCAAAGGAAGCAAGTTACCAAAATTCTATAAAAGAATTGAATTATTAAGTCATTTTAAGTGTTCTTTACAATGCAATCATAAACATTTGGGGTGAAATTTCGTGTCATAGGCACTTTAAAAGCCGACTTTGTCTATCACATGCAACCAAATACATTCCATTGAACTCCTGGCAAAATCCCACCCAGTACTACTATAGAGTATAGGCATTTACTTAGGTGTTTTTTCTTTATAGATTTTAGAAACAGAACAATCTGTATCGAGTAATGCAGGTGTGGGACTTCCCGAGAAGGAACCGCCTGCGCGAAACTGTTGTGCTTGTCACTATCCAAAAACAAAGTCACTCATGAATGATGTAGACGGATAACGAAATGAGAAATGCCGTATTCCTCTTTTTACCCCACACCTCACTCCACCCACACCCCATTCCCTAGCTAATAAGCCCCGCACGTTAGTAGAGGAAATACGGTATAGGTATGAAATAAGATTGAGGTTAGGTTAAAGCATTTTGAATTTAAAATTGATCATTGGTATTTTTAAAAATAAAATGGGGTCGAATTTACGCTGTTCTGTACATAGTAAAATGTCTGACTGAACAGTAAATAATAGTTTTGTTTGTGGAAACACCACGTAAATTTATTACTGCAAAGCTTTCGATCCGTAAGCCCGGATCTTCATCAGTGCAGATCCGGGCTTACGGATCGAAAGCTTTGCAATAATAAATTTACGTGGTGTTTCCACAAACAAAACTATTATATCGCCATGCAAACATACAAAGAACTTATAAACTTCTTTATCTTGGCATTCTGTTTGTATAGTGGAAAAAAATGTGACTGATATCAGTCTATATAGTATCAGTATACGTTATGATAAGTCAGTCTTGATAACTTTTAGCAAATTTTTGCATAATCAAAAATCAAAAGGTGATTGGACTTGTAATTTCGACCCCTAGTTCATGCAATATTTTAATTATATTTTTGCACTATAAGATGGTAGAATTATAAGATACATCATAAACTAATGCAATATATATGTTTTAATGTAGTGTAGACTAAATGGTATTAAATGTATTATAATAGTGTAAAAGAAACACTTATTAGAGAGTAAATAGAGACGTTTTTGGTTTTAAACCGCAATAAAAAGCGGATCTGTATATGGTATACATAGCTTTAAAATAGTGAACTTAGATTTTACCACAAATACAATTTATAGTCAATGAAATGGTATTATATATAACAAAATGTACATGCAATTTATGGTTGAACGAATTACGTACTAGTTCTTTAACCCATCTTTGGGATAATTTACTGAAAAGCACCTAAGTAATTATATAAAAGTTTGGACACCAATTTTGATAGTAAATATAGATTTTGCTAAATGCCATCTAACCACCCATTGCCACATCATAAACTCTAGTGTTTATTGCAACTCTTGCCCAATGGCCTCGTTTTCATTCATTTCCTCGTATTTCGTGCACAATAGTCTAAGGGGATAGGTTTGTGACTTGACTCAAGATCAAAGAGAAACATGTTCATTCATGAAACACGATAGGCAAATTAAACAAGGTCTTGGGGCAAAAGTGCGATAAACAGTAGAGTCTATTCATTCGCATATACCGGGTGTCCCCCCAAACATGGAAAAGCCAGATCTTTACACAGCTAATATTAATACAAGGACATCGAAATTTTGACAGCTGGATTTCAACTTGCAAAAAAATTTTTGCTCAATTTCTTTTGAATGGACCTTTCCCCTTATAACTAAATTTTGATCTAGACAAGTCTAGACAAAAATTTCATCACAGCTTGAAAGAGCATCACAAAATTAGTGATATTCCGAAGTTTCGTTGCGAAATGTTGTAAAATGCGGATAATATAGCCCTGCGAAATTTGCAATTTTCAGTCATTTTGTATTACAAACGGGAAATTGATGCCCCTGCCCAACACCCGATTGCGCTGTCAATTTCGCATGCGTAATACAAAATGACTGAAAATTGCAAATTTCGCAAGGCTATATTATCCGCATTTTACAACATTTCGCAACGAAACTTTGGAATATTACTAATTTTGTGATGCTCTTTCATGCTGTGATGAAATTTTTGTCTAGATCAAAATTTTAGTTATAAGGGGAAATGTCCATTGTCAGCGGTCTGGCAGCTATTCTATCTCTTTGGGACACCCTATATATTTTCAATGCTTGGTTTATATCTTTGTTCATTCTATGGTTACATTAGTCATTAGAGAGGTTTTGATTTTAAATACCACTACCACTATACCATTAACCAATCAAATGCATTTATACTACCAGACCAACCAATCAAATGCGTATTAATAGTACAATCAAAATAGAAAATAGGTCAGAAAAAAATTAGTAAAAAGCCAAAAATTAGCGTATGCACTCTCTTCAGCAACCTTGATAACATACTAAAAGTCCTCATGTATCCTCTTGGAGCTTTCTCCATTATGACAAGTTTTTTGTTCGATTTCCCTATTGAACTCCTATATTGTTAAAAAAGTGAAATTTCAGATTCATTTATAGGAAAAATAAGTTACATCATTAGAAAACTTACAAAAAACTACACATAAGACATTTAAACGGCTACCTTGATTTTGCAAGTTATTCTTGAGTTATGAAGACTAGTACCCAGAATTTTTGCCAGATTTTGGCCTATTTTTCACAATTGGAACACCAATAACTCGAAAACCGCTTGAAAAATTTAGGTGACTGTTTAAATGTCTTATATGTAGTTTTTATGAGCTTTCTAGTGATGCGAGTCATTTTTGTTATGAGTGAACTTGAAATTTCACGTTTTTTAACAATATGGGAGTAATACGGATATCGAAAAAAACCTTGTCATAATGGAAAAAGCTCCAAGAGGATACATGGGGACTTTTAGTATATTGTTCAGGATAGTTAAATGATTGCATCTAACAATTTTTAGCTTTTTACTATATTTTTTCCAACCTTGGCCTTAAAATGAGCTAAAATTACTGAACTATTAAGCCTGTGAGAAGTAGCGGTAGTGGAATGCAATACCAGAACAGTAGTGGTAACTAGGCATGCAGCTTATCTGAAAATTGAATCGGAGTGGCAATGGACAGTAAACACGTGTTAGTTGCATGAATAGCTCATTTTTGCGAGAGTGTGTCTGGAACTTCTATCTTATTGGCACTCTGCAAAAAAATCGATCTGCAGCAGCATGTTGAGATCGAACCATTTTGGTACGTTTCCAGTCTAGATCATCTCCTGTAAACCAGTTTATCTGGTCGTGTAAAATTTGTCATCGGTTGTCCGCCAATACCACATGTGCCAATGCCAACCTGAATTAATGAACAGGAAAATAGTTTTCAGGCTTTTATTCGAACTTGTCTTGTTTTGACTCATATCTTGGTCTCAAGATGCTAATATTTCGGTATGATTCACCTTTATATTTTTAAAATTGGTTGGCTGGTATTGGTTTTTGCCTTAGTTACAAATGAATATATAATATAACTGTAAAATATTTTCCCATACCTTCCCCTCAACGGTTTCTGGTGATGCAAAAATACTTTTCTTTAAAATTCCTTTCTTTTTACCTCCAGCCTAAAATTTAAGAGTTGAAAGTTCCATGCATTAATTTAAAAACCCTGAGCTACTGACCCTGAGATACTTTGAAGTACTTACTTTTGGTCCGTTGAAAAAATCTAACCATTTGCTTTTCTCCTTCTCTCGTGTCTCATTCACTTCCTGATAATTACAAAAAAACAATTTGTGTTAACCATTGGTCCAACTATATGGCTTCAATAAACAGCCCTTAGGAGAAATGAGTTTTATATCTTACCTTTCGTTTCTGTTTTTTCTTCAGGGCTTTCTTCTTTTTAATATCTCTAAGTTTTTCACGCTCCGCCCTGAAAAACAATACATGTACTTAGTTATGTTTTAGCCCTTCATGTGATACACAGAACACTCATCTTGTTACCTGGTTAATTCCTTATTCTGTTTTCCCTCTCCTTTAGTCTCATAGTCGACTGGTGCAGCTCTTTTGACGCCAGGTTCGCCAGGTTTTTTCAACGTTGAAACCTACATAATATAGTACAAGTCATAGTGATTCATGATTGACCGATAATCGGCAATCACTTTGATTTTTGCCTTATCGGTAGACAATCGGATATAGATATCTATATTTCCGATTGTTCAAAACCGATTGTTGAGAAATACGCACTTTAAAAATTATATGTATTGCACGTTGATACATGTTTGTAGCATGCCATTTATTAACGGTTTTGACAATCTTTGGTTGCAGTAACATCTTAAATTTGGAAATTATCGTTTAAAAATCGACATGAATGATGTTACCTTTGCTTGGTCGACTGATACTATGATGTCACTACAAAATCGGCATCGGTTTCTGGCAGATTGTGGGATGAGTAATCGGTAATTCCGATTGTTGCACAATCGGTCAATCACTAATAGTACACATTTCTGATATTCATTCACTAACTTGGAGCTACAAGTAAGCACATGATTTAGCGCACCCTGCATATATTAATAAGTAGAGATAAGCCTAATAATCGAAAAAATAAGTAGCAAAGCCTGTTAATCTGCAATTTTAAAATAATTGTTATGTTAACTTTGACAAAGGAGGTAACATCGCTCCAAGGCTCTGGAACTTTTGCAGCTATGCTAGCCTAAACACACATAAACATGGTATTACCTTTGTTATTTCAGTATTTCCAAATGGTTCTAACGTGACAGTACATGTCGTGCCATCATCTGAGATTCTGTCTACAGTTGCATCATAATAACTACAGAAACAGTTCAGTATATTTAGTGTTAACTTTGTTATTGATAGAAACATTACCGTACAATGGACCATTTGCATTATATACTAAATTTTGATCTAAACAAAAATTTCATCAGCTTGAAAGAGCATCACAAAATTAGTAATATTCCAAAGTTTCGTTGCGAAATGTTGTAAAATACGGATAATATAGCCTTGCGAAATTTGCAATTTTCAGTCATTTTGTATTACAAACATTGATGCCCCAACACCCGATTGGGCTGTCAATTCCCGTGCGTAATACAAAATGAGTGAAAAATGGCAAACTTCGCAAGGCTATATTATCCGCATTTTACAACATTTCGCAACGAAACTTTGGAATATTACTAATTTTGTGATGCTATTTCAAGCTGTGATGAAATTTTTGTCTAGATCAAAATTTAGTCTATAATGCAAATGGTCCATTTAGAATGAAGCCTCATTCTCAGGTTATTGTTTGTGGGAGTGGGTGTTTTTAGAGAGCAGTGTTATTATTCTTGACAATTACAACATAATTCGGAAATGGTCTATTGATTCCAACATTTGTTACTCCTTACTACTCAGTTCTACCATGTTTCATGCATGGCTGGATTTTGAGGGGAAGTTTGGGGAGGTGCACACCTCCCCTGAAAAAGTCATGCACATCCCCTTGGGAAAGTTTCAGTGATAGATCAGAGTGAAAATTTGTCATTTTTTGGTTGCTTAATTAAGGTCTACACTTTGTAAGAAAGTTTTTCTGTAAAATTGAAACAATGATAGCCATTCATCTCGGTGTCAAGTATCCTTTTAATGGAATGTTTTGAAAGAAATTTTGTAGTAATTGTAATGAAGAGCAAAATTGGATGAGTTGTACAGTCATAATTCATTAATACACTGGATACATATGTACACTACATGCAGGGTCTTAGCTAGGATTTTAGATCTTGGGCGTGTTTCTAAATAACCAGGGCGTGTTTCTAAATAACCAGGGTGTGGTACATGTCAATTATCTTGCATATCCAAATTCACGGTTCTACAACACCGGACAATGCCTGCGGTGGTTCTATGCTTTGCAACCAAATACAAGGCGAGCATATACTCATATTGCGTACTGTCATTAAAACATTAAGTCATTTCAGCAACTCTTGGGTGTATTTAAAACTTAAAACCACTTTAACACCATACAATTCCATTATCCATCAAAACATTAAAACATCACGGATCACTTTTGCTAATTTCAACAACAACAATAGATTTTACAAACGTTCTTATGACGTAAATAGAAAGAAATTCTGTCTGTTGTAAGTAGCACCATCTTATTATATGAATGTACACGGCCTTATATATTATTTAATAATGAAGCCGCGTTCATTTTATCTAGCCGTGTTTTTCCATTTTTAGCCGTGATAACACGGCCCAGATCTAGCTAAGATTTTGACTACATGCATATGTCACGTTCTAACCCTCCATGGGGGTCGTAAGCTAGACCGCTGCACCTCCCCTAAATTTTTTCCACCTCCCCCACTATTTCCACCAAAATCCAGCCTTGGTTTCCTGCTATGCCAGAAACATGGATTGTACAAAGTCTGGCCTAAACTAACACAATTCTCACCATCCATCTTCACTCCACATGGCTTGACATGAATCACCTTCCTTCCAACCAGACTGGTTCTTTGACGATGATGTTGGCTGTGCCGACGGTTCCTTGGCACCCTTACTACTGCTACTACTGCTGCCACCCTAACAAAGCAATATTCAATGTAATACCCCATTGCAACTTAGGTGCAATTTGTCTGTGCAACCCTCGAAATTCAACTATTTTTGCTTCGGCAAATAATTGCCGAAGTGTTTCAATAATTTTCGAGTTTGCCTCGGCAATTTTTTTTTGCCGAGGCACACGCAATGAAATCACCTTCGGCATTCACATCGACAATTGTAATTAAAGTACGGAAATTATTGTAAACAAATATTATACCGAGCGTAGATTCTGATGTTTGACAATTTGTTGTTATTTTACAAATTCCTGATTCAAAATGTTTTTAAAAGTTAGTGGTAATTAACAACAAATAGTATGAAAGAATAAATTTGACGGTAATCACGCGACAGTCTAAAAGATAAAACAAAGTTTCTCGACGTTCCGTCTTTACAGTAAACCATCGAGATTGTTCTTTATTTCAGCTGAAGCCGACCGACGCTGAAAAGCTCAAATTTAATAATAAAATTTTGTAATCTTCTGTTGTTCACCCAACGTCGATGACAACAATTCGAACAAAAATGTGGTACAAAAACAAACACTGTAGTTTGTAAATTTAAGCAAAAAAACGAACAGACGCTGTAGTATGTAAATTAAGGTACAAAGGATGTAATTGCCTCGGCATTTTTTTTGCCGAGGCAAACTATGAAAAATCGTGACTTGCCTCGGCATTTGCGTCGGCAATTGCCGAGTGCCGAGGCAAATTTCGAGGGTTGCTGTGCATGCACAAGAACAGCTAAGAATTCTGTGCATTTCAAATCTGCCATAGATTTGGAAGTATATGAAATACTGCTGAGTTCAAATGCATTAAATGTTTTTTTTTCAGTTCGATTTTCTTATGCTTGCTTGGAAAACAAAAAAGGTAAGACTTCTTTCATATTTTGTGTTATATTTTGTCGTTGAGCTGGTGATAAAAGATATAAATTTTGTGATTGGAATTGGAAATTTCTATGCAATTATAATAAATTGGGAAGCAGATTGATGAACACATTGCAAAGATATCATCTAGCTGAAAAATGGCTTGATTTATCAAGAATGAAACAAAATGAAATATTTGTATGTAAGTGTAACAAACCTCATTTAGTTGTACTAGGTCAGATGTAAGAGCGATGACTTCCTGTAAAATAATGTATAATTTTACGAATTTATAATACAATATCTACTGTTTATTGAATTGTAATCTGTCTGATGACAGCGTTAAATAACATATTAACACTGAAAACATTGCCACAACAAGACATTTGTACACAAAGCTTTTGTCAGATTTCACAACCGTTTTGTTGAACATCAACATATTCTCCAATTTGAGTTCTCATTATCAATTTTCACTTTCAAGGAAAAAATGTTCAAAATGTCAGAATTCGCACAGTGAATGTCCAAACATTGAGAAATGCTCAGTATAGACTAATTTGGACATGATAATTCTAATCCAGAGGGCAGAGGTCCATTTTTTGCAAAAATCTGTTGATACTAAGATGGAAAAATTGATGATGTCAACTTGGATCGGAGAATAGTGCATTACTTTGCTTAAATTTGTGGACAAGTTATGCAGTAAATTTTAGTTATATAGATCAAATTATGACATCCTGCTAAAATTTGAAGTTGCATTCCCTAAAACATTACTTCAATACTTAAATTACATTACAGTCAATTTCAGCTGACTTTTCACCGTAAGATTCCGAAGTTCGTTCGGAACTTCCGAAGTACATTCCTTATTTGGGAAGTTGGGCGTGAACTTCGAAACGAACTTCGGAACGAACTTCCGAATGAATTTCGTAAATACGATTTACAAAATAAGGCCACATAAAAAAAATTACTTGTTTAGCGTCCCCGCCCGACCTGATAAAAGTCCCCGACCTCCAATTTTTTTTTTTTTTTTTTTAAATTTTTTCCGAGTTTAGTGGAAAAACTCTCTATAAAAAAGACCGTTTTACTTGAAAAAATGGTGATTTTATTCTTCTGGGAGCTATGTAATACGTTTACACAAAGTTTCCTTCCCAGAATATGCCTGTTCGCAGCTAACGTGTTCGCGCGTGACCGCCAAACGGTAATTTTCTGTTTTATTAAAAACATGAACGGGAAGTTAAAAAACATGAACGCATTTTGAAAGAATTAAAGTGAGGTTTGACTGTGGTAATATACTGGATTTCCTGCATTTAGCAGACTGATTTTGTGTTGCATTTTACGAAAAAAAAAATCCGTCCGCCCGACTTAGAAAAATTAAAATGGGTGGACGCTAAACAAGTAATTTTTTTATGTGGCCTAAGCCAGGATTCCTGGCTTTCGGTAACGGATTATCCTAGATCCTCACGTTCCTTCCCGAGGATCGCAGGCTCAGGGAACGAGATTGAAGCCTTTTTTACACCACTTCCCCGGATTTTTCATTGTCCTCACCCCACCCCACCCCCATCCCTGAGCGGAAAATAAATGCAATCTGCCATTACTCGTCGGTTTCAGGGGGTTATTTATGTTTAATAGAAAGAGTAAGCCTTACTGAATACAATGTGAATTTTATTGAATTTCCCGATTTATAAACCCCCTTGCGTGTATCAAAGCCGTTTTCGTGTCATGGCAATATACCCGAAATATACCCCATTTTCCAAACAGGATAACTTGTCGGTTGGAGGAGATTATTAGTGTTTTAAAGTATCAGCTAGAACCGTGAACCTCCCCAAATTCAATGATGTGAACTGTCCTGAATTTCCCGATTTATAGGCAACCACATCAATTATTATCCGCCCTCACCTGAGGAACCTTGGAATTTCCAAGGGAGGGGGTGCATTAATCTTGGAATGTCCAAGGAGCATTTCTCACATGGAATTTCTAGAGGGAGTAAATTAAATGGGAGGGAAATTCCATGGGAGGACATATATTAGAGGATGATAAAGATGCCTGATTTTAACCTTCAAAATACAGAGTTATCTACTATAAATTAATACTAGAATTTTGATGTTAATTACCAGGTAAATCTGTCAATTTTGATAAAAATTTTGGAAGGAAATTTTGCTGAAAAAAGGAAATTTCGGGTTATTAAAAGGAAATTATTTTTTGTAGTGGAAACACTGGGTTTGTTGACAGCGTTTCGAGATTTGTTGACAGCGTTTCGAGATTTGTTGACAGCGTTTCGGGTTTTGTTGATTGAAATTTTGCTTGCTTGAATCTGGCACAAATTTTAAGGTTGATCTTGAAGGAAACTCGTGTTGGTTGTGAAACAAAAATCGGTGTTGATACAGAAGGCTTTTTGAATAGTTGAATTTGGAACGGAATTATTGTTGACGTTGAATCGGTTTGTTGAATGTATGATAAAAACGTGGTTGATGTTGATCGGTGTTTGTTGAAACCGATAGAATTTTAATGCTTGAATTTTGCACCAAATCGCTTTCCATA